CATGTTCTCTTACACAGTGGACTAGCCGTTGGCTTCAAATACGAATTCACGGTTTCGACCCTGGCTCGAGGCGAGGCGCATTCGAAGGAATGATTTGATTTTACAACGGCGAACATTTCTCAGAACAGCACACTTGGAACATGGAAAAGAATGGTGATATCTCTTATTTCTAAGTTCCGTGCACATAACCTACAACTTACTACAATGTCCTTATTCACAATGTCTCTCAAATACATATTAAATATCGTCTAACGGATGTGTACTAGGACTTAAATCGAGCTGCTTTAATTAATGATGATTCGTTAAATAGCGGAATAGTGATTGAGAAATAAGATAAACGAGGGAGAACCGCTCTGTTCACCACACATTCTACAAGGGGCTCCCGAGAACCGAACGCCGGCCGCAGAGGCTGAAGCTGAGCGATCTCGCCACTACAGCACATGTTTTTTGGGAAGAGTGTGAAATTCTCAGTGTGTTATGCTGTGCTTGGAACATGAACAGAACACTAATGGATGCTCTCAACAATTGAATAAAGGTAAATGCTATTCGTAACGATACTCCCGTTCTACCGACTAGTTCTGACAGTTCATCTGGCGGAGAAAGCGAGGGTGAATCCTAATCACGATATTACGAACGACTACAGGGGATGCCTGTTCAAACGTTCCCCCAGACTCGCGACAAGAATTGACTTTAAGGAATGAATGAAAGAATGAAAAAAGAAAGGGGCGAGGATACTTGCGTCTCCTCGCAAGTATCCTCCATTCAAAACTAAAATTAAATAAAGTGAAATGGCTACGACCAGGTGTAGGCTGCTGAGTATCTCATAAACCAAGATTTAACAGCTTCCCTCCAAAACTCTAGATGCGCGGTTTGAATCTCTTGCGCTGTTCAGCAGAAGATCGGAAAACGAACTGCGAGGACTGCAGATTAATCATAACACTGTTGCGAAATACGTTCACATTCGGATAAAGAAAAACATTCGGAAAACAAACACCTCACAGAACAAACTCTTTGAATACCTGTGTTATGCATAAGCTTCGTATACCTGTGTATTATAACAATTAGTTATCAGTTTTTGAAAAGAGTTTTTCTGGTACCTACAATGTAGAGCTACATCGCACGCTAGGCAACAGAATGAGGTGCTACGTAAGCAGCAATGTTCAGATCATGAGCACTGCGAGTACGCACGTCAATGAAAGTTGCACCCCCTAACTTTTGAAAGAGGTGGGTAAATAGGTCAAGTTTTGATATAAATGATCTGATCTGATATATTTTCAACGAACTAATTTATTTAAATTTAATAAACAGTATAGTTAGTTGCGCGAAAAATTATTATTATTATTATTATTATTATTATTATTATTATTGTTGTTGTTGTTGTTGTTGTTGTAACGTGAAGGGGAAGCTGCGTTACAGTCAGATGACTCGATTTCCATCTCCGGGACACATGTTTATTTCCTCGTCGCAGACAGCGCGTTTGCGGAAGTTTCTCGGGATCCTCCAGCTTTCGCTGTCTCTCCTTCCACCACATTCCCATCATCATTCACGCCTCAATAACTTTATCCGTCATGGTGCCCTTGATTCATACCCTAGGAGTAAGATTTGCGGAACTGTATTTTGTAGCAATTTATTTACATTTTCTGGAAAGAGACATTCACAATACATAATATTAATCATTCTTGAAAAATTCTTAAGAATAAAGGAAAGCAAATGGAATTGCGAATATTGTTTACCCAAAAGAAAAATAATTAAAGATCTCATCACGAAAGCAAGAAACGTGACTAATGAAAATGCAATAATCTGTATATATAATTAGTAACACAAATGAACCTATAAAAGATGAACCTTCTCGAAACTTCGAGATTTTGAAATCACGTTAACTGACTTACTCGAGGTAATAGACGTGAGATTGCAACTCAGCTCTAATAAAACTTCTGAGCGAACTCGACTGCATAAGGAAAAGCGAAGGTCGAAGAAAGGAGGAAAATCGAGTACAGCAAGTCATGCCCTTTCAATATCTGTGCCTCCCAATCTTATCCCGAGGTCTGACCACCTGTCAGCTTAACTTATCAACGTGCTCACACTTTCAAAAGACTAGTATTGCTTTCTCACTCATATTCCACGTAATTATCGATGTTTTATAAAGAGATATAAATCGTTTTCACTCTAATATATCTCGCTCACTATAGTATTGTTCATAAAGGAAATGCTGTAAAATTACGACTGCAGAAACATTAATCACCGTTTGCTCTCGTATTCGAGGGCCAACGTTAAATATATCTCACTAAACAAATAAAACTGCAGTTGATGCTGAGTACCTCCTGTACACTGGTAAATCGGCTAGAGGCTATAGTTAAAATATGTTAATCAAAAACCGACTAATAAATTGTGATAACACTGGAAGTCTTTCTAGTTATTTCACTACAAGTAGCGGATGAAAGTGATCAAGATTGTACACTGCAGCTAAACGTTTATGGATTCTCTTCGATTACGTCGCCGCCCCAACCCAATTATAACACCGGCCGAGCATTAGCAAGTGAAGGAGACCTACAGAACTTGTTCTAGAGGGCAAACATCTCTCAGATCAAGACACGTAGCTTCTTTTAATAGAAAATAATCCCATTTAATGCTGAATTATCAGTTCGTGTTAAAGTATTTTGGGAAGTTAACTATTTAATGTAAGTAAATAATAAAAATACAATATACTTGATATGAAGCCCTCTGTCCACCCGTTGAGACGAAAATTTGTCAAATTTCCAAACCTGTTTTCAAAAAAATAATACTCAACAAGATAGTTTGTCCCTTTAGCATTAAATGTATTACTCATCAAGGTTTTTTTAGCCGCGTTGCGGACATCTTTAGGGAATGAGATTTATTAGAAGTGTAAACGTACAGTACAGATTTTTGCTGTTCTGCATGCGGCTGAAGAAACTTTACGCTTTAATATATATTTTTAAACTGCGGTACAGTCATTCTGGTAACCCGAGCACATTCAGGAATCAAACTCGGACATACCAGTTTTGAATTATTCAGGGTTCACAGGTCGGTAGATCCTAGGTTCAAGTCTCGAAAGTGGGTGGATTTCGACTTCAGTTAAACACGTGGGATCGAAGCCCAATTTTGCTTCGATGAGAATTCTAGAGGGCAGCAGCACTGGTCGGTCGTTTATCGATTTCCTCTTATCTACTCCAGACGGACGGCACCTAAAATGAAGAGCCCTGAGCGCCGCGCGGGCCTTCGACCTCCTGACCCTGCTCTCGCTCTGAGGTTGATTCCACGGGCGAAGGCAGACGCCGCATTCCGATGTGGCCCGTCCCTGTGACCTGGAAAGAGTCCGGCGGTTGTGTGACTACGCGTGTGTCGCTCCAAGGCTCGGATTGTACTTTTCCCCTTTTGAAAGGAACAACTGGGCGTACAGTCGCGCTAGCTTAACGGTTGCGAGGATCACTTCGCAAGTGTTTGTTTAAGAAAATGGATTTTGACTATCACTCAGATAAAAATTGCTTAACACGAACAGTACAAATTGATTAATAATTCAGAAACTGTAACCTGTATTCGAGATCGAATTTTTGCAACATTTCAACATTTTTTTCTATAATCGGTATTTAACAAAAAAGAAATCGTTTTTCATAGTTCTGTATCAAATGTCTTTTGCACACAGCTTAAACTCCACATGTATGTTTTAAAATTGTACTCATCTTATTATATTATTGATAATAGTACTTTTCTATATTTACTTATTTTTGTATCTCCTTAAAACTTCATCAGTAAATATTTTGGTCGACTTATTCAGTTGACAGACATATTTACTGTCAGAGAAAATTGAATATTATGAAATATTTACAGACAGAGAATATTGAATGTTATACTCCATAATCGTACTTCAATATATATTCCTCAGATTGCTGGAGTAGTTTTTCAATGGGAGTGTCTATCAATGTAAAATAATTTTTGGTGATATTTTGAAGACATTCGGTTTAGCCCTAACAAACGTATCGACATTGAAAATCTTTGAATCTGTATCCAACATGGAACGAACATCGTACCGACATTAACTCTTCATAATACAACCTATATTTACAACTTCGTACATTTTACCCGACTCGTCCCCTTCCTAATGCAAGTTGAACAGCACGGATTGCTATTGGATTCAACGCTGTCCGGGAAACTCTACAACCTAGACATGATTTCCAACATGTTGAACTTCATACGTTGGCAACCATGTGAGCACGATCAGCCCAGAATCCATGGACTCTACATCCTGAAGGCTACGTCTTCACGGAATATAAAGAGATTTCTATGAGAAATTGTCGCTTGTCAGCTACTGATTGGCCACTGCTGGCAACATAGTTGCAGGTTACGTCCACGCACTCATTCTGTCAAAGCGTTCGTTTACAGTTGGCTCATTTGTAAATGGCTTCATCACTATCTCTTGCAATGTCAGCGCCCTGCATGACGTGACAAAGAAGGCCTGTCTTGGAGTTCTTCCTCTACACTCGTTTTCCCCTTCAGATGGATTCCAGGTTCTCGTAGGTGTCAGGCGCCCTCCGGTGCTTGGGGCGCGCCGCGCTGCTTGCTCCCTGGAATCTCTGAGTTGACGCGCGTGGTGCGGCGGAGTGGCGCAACCAGCCACCAGACGACACAGCCCGGCGCGGGATCTCACCTCACCCTGCGCCGCACGCGAGTGGCGACCCGTGGGGTGCGGCCAGACCCTCACCGGACTCGAGTGCCAATCGCCCCTGGAGGACGTTGTGTTGGACAAGTGGGTTCGGGGCAGCGTTTCCCCGGCTTTCCCGTCTTCCCTGCATCTCTTCCCTCATCTCTGTTGTTCTAAATTCCTTTAAAACCTTCTTTCCACCCATTTCCAAGCATAGTCTTAGAGCTCAGGCAGCGGTGTCATGAAGATGGTCCCGCCCGAACGATGTTCGCGCAGCAAGGGCCGCACGGGTCGCGTCAACTGCAAAGTGTAGGAAGGAGTTGGCGGCGGCGGCGCGACTTACCAGACCGAGAGAGCAGCGGAGCCATGGCGGGGGTGCGGCTGAGTAGAGACTGAGCAGAGCTGAGGCGGTTGCGAAGAGCGAGCTGCTGTGGGATGTGCGGCTGCCGGGGGTTTTATAGGGTGCGTCGCCGCCGCGGGGCGCAATTGGAACGAGGCTGTTCCGAGGGCAGGGGAGGGGGCGGCGGCAGAAGCCCCGCGGAGTCTCTTTGCACCCCCGGCGGTGGCGCTTCCGGAAGGAAGCGCGCGGCGGGGAGCGCGGCGTGGGCGACGTGGGGCGGAGGAGGAGGGCTTTCTTCTCGGCGGCGCCGCCAAGGAATCCTCTCAGTCTCCCTCCAGGGGTGGGGCCGCCATCCTCCCTCGCGCTCACAGCGACTCTCGACACAAATAAGTTACCACGGCTGCGCCTTTCTTATAACGCACTTGGGACTGATTTTGTGTTTGTTCGTTACCTCATGTAATCATTACGCGAATACAACCAGGGCCCTATATTGAAACGTAGGGTCAAAGAGTAAACGCAGATTAAGAGCGTCACATGGTGCCTGAGTAGAGAGACTAGACGCCGAAGAGAGCGATCGCTGGGCACTCTTTGATTTCATTTACATCGATATTTCTAGAATATCTTTAATAATAAATGTAATTAAAAGGAAAATGCATATTCCCAACATATAAGAATATTTTTTCTATTATCTGGGAGTTGTACAACCGTGCAAACCTACGCACCATCCTCCACTGCTCAAATTGTTGAAAATAAAATTAACAATATCTTTTACAAAAAAAACTTGTAGTGCATTCATTTTCAAGCACAAGTTTTGTGTTCCATGCAACATAAAAGATGACAACGTTTTCGTTGCAAGCTGCACTAGTAAAAAGTCATATTAAACCCGTCACAAAAATTGTTAACGTTATTGTGATTGTTCCTCTTCCTCAAAGAGCTCCAAATCTGACGAACTGCAATAGAACCTCGATTATTCGAGGAAATGGACAGGGTAGGTCACTTAGATAAATTAAAAATAACTTTTAATGACCCAAGTTTATTTAACGAAATACACATGTATATACAATGCTATTTTATTTTAGCAGGTCTTAAAATATGCCGTGCTTTAAGTTGGCGTTAGTCCCGCTAACAGTCACGTAGCAGACCTTGAAGTTATAACGTTTAACCCTAGGTCTAATGTACAACCTTACACTACCGAGTTTTCAAGTTTACCGTACAAACGGTTGCATTTTTCTACCACTGATTAACACTCTTACATAAATTACATAGTAAAGAAGAGAGGAAAGTGAGAGTCACACCCCAGGCGTCCCAGGGGACCACACGCATGGGGCGCTCCTGCTCGAAAAGCCCCAAACCCGCGCGCGATCTACTAATGCTACTGTTACTGCTACTGTTACTGCTACTGTTACCGCTACTGTTACTGCTACTGTTACCGCTACTGTTACCGCTACTGTTACCGCTACTGTTACCGCTACTGTTACTGCTACTGTTACTGCTACTGTTACTGCTAATGTTACTGCTACTGTTACTGCTACTGTTACTGCTACTGTTACTGCTACTGTTACTGTTACTGTTACTGCTACTGTTACTGCTACTGTTACTGCTCTGTTACTGCTACTGTTACTGTTGTTGCTGCTACTGCTGCTACTACTGCTGCTACTGCTACTCCTACTGCTGCTACTTTAGCTACTGCTACTTTTGCTACTACTGCTGCTTTAGCTACTACTGCTACTTTAGCTACTACTGCTACTTTAGCTACTACTGCTACTTTAGCTACTACTACTACTTTAGCTACTACTGTTACTTTTGCTACCGCTGCTGCTACTACTACTACTACTACTACTACTACTACTATAACTACAATTTATGTTTCAAAATTAGACACATACACTGAAGAACCAAAAAACTGGCACAGCCATTCGTATTACAGAAGAGCAACTCTTCCCAAATTACTGCAGATTTCAATGCTGACCCATCGACAAGTGTCAACGTGCGAACCATTCAACGAGACATTATTGATATGGGTTTCGAAGCCGAAGGACTACTCGTGTGCCCTTGATGACAGCACGACACAAAGCTTTATGCATCGCCTGGGCCCATCAATACCGACATTGAACTGTTGATCACTGGAAACCCATTACCTGGTCTGCCAATCTCGATTTTCATTGTTTCGAGCGGATGAACGTGTACGATTATGGTCACAACCTCATGAATCCATGGACCCTCCATGTCAACAGGCGACTGTTCAGCTGGTGGAGACTCTGTGATGGTATGGGAGTGTGCAGTTTGAGTGATATGGGACCCCTGATAGTCTAGGTACGACTCTGACAGATGACACGCACGTAAGCATCTTGTATGATTGCCTGCACCCATTCATGGCCATTGTGCATCCCGACGGATTTGAGCAATTCCAGCAGGAAAATGCGACATCCCACACGTCTAAAATTGCCAGGAACACATTTCTGAACTACTTACTTCCACTGGCCACCAAAATCTCCAGACTGAACATTATTGAGCATATCTGAGATGCCTTGCAACGTGCTGATCAGAAAAGATCTCCACCCCCCGTACTCTTACGTGTTTATGGCCAGCCCTGCAGGATTCTTGGTGTCAATCATCTCCGGCACTACTTCATTAGTCGAGTCATGGACATTAGTCGGGTACATGCCACGTCGTGTTGCGGTACTTCTGCGTGCTACTGCGTGCTACGAACCCTACACGATATTTGTCAGGTGTACCAGTTTGTTGGCTCTTCGGTGTATATTTTTGATTAATATTATTAAATTTAATTTAATTAGTATGTGTGTGAATAATGTGATTTATTAATTTTTAAATCATATATTTCTCTATGTGGTGTGGTGGCACATACTCTCTCACGTCTGAGTTCATTATTGTAACAAAATTATAAAAAGTAACCAAAATGTGTATTGTAGAACTTCTCTCCTGAAATATACCTTCAGCACGAATGTTGCCCCGCACGTTTACCAATATTTCAAGGAGAACTTTGAAAAAAGAATATTCAAACCAATTGTTGAAGCAGGGATATGTATTAAATTGGTTTATACTTGCACCAGACTTCACAATTCGTTATTTTTTTGTGGTGAATGTAAAAAAATTGTTTATAAGAATGTACCTACAACTCCAGAAGATGTGTGGTGTTACTATAGAGCGCGAAACAAAGCAAAAAAGGACGAGCAGGACGACGCCAGGGTCACGTTCCAGCGAGGAGGATGATCGCCAAATTCAAAAGGACCCAGGTAACTGAAGAGCAATGGTGACAAAACAATGTCCAAACTCAATGTGGGTGTATAATTGTAGTTCCCGTAACGAACATTTGAAGTTTTTCACATGAAAAATAAAAGTTACTCGATTCACGAATGAAGATTAAAATTGCTATTAATATTTATTGTGGTCTAACTACCACAATTGTAAGGAATCTTACACAGAAAAATATAAAACTCAATATATCACAATTGACAGTTCTTCTTAAAAGGAAATTTGATGTAAAATGTCTGAATTTTTTATAAAATGTTTCTCTGTAAATAATGTCTCGTGTGTTTTGGTTTCTTCATAATGTACTCGTAGAACTGTGTTAAACAAGCTCTTACCGGTTCACGTAACAGTAGTAGGTGGTTCAGTTAAGTTCATACTGCGGTTAAGTGGACCACTTTTTCGTCAACTACTTTTCTGCATAACAAGAAATATGCTAAAAGCTTGAAAATTAATAATTTGTATAACTGTGTCTTACATGTGATTTCATATTATTGAATTGAATTGAATTATGCCTTATTTTACGTGGCGAGACTCAGGCCATTAGGCCTGCTCTTCCGTCTGACCACGCAAATTTCGCTACGCTCCTTTCACCAACTACCGGAGAAAGGAGGTATTTCTTGGGCGAGAAACAGGCGACTTGAATTTAGCTCAGAGGCGTCATTTAGGCTTGAGGATCTTTTACATGCAAGTAAATCTACGAACATGGGACAGCCGGCTTTACTTCCCCTCCGAAGGAAGGCGTACGAAGGATTTTTTCGCCCTTAAAAATCCACGGCTTCGATCGGGTTTGAACCCGCCAACTTGGGTACAACAGTCCAGTACGCTAACCGTTACACCATCGCTGCCGCCGCCGCATTATTATGTAACAAAAGTTTGGCAAACAAACAAATAAACAAATGCAAAAACTAAGAAGCATTCCAGCCCAATTAACAAAACTATCCTAGTTAATATAATAATTAATATAATAATATAATTAATATGTAATAATAATAATTAGTTAATATAATAATATAATTAATATATAATAATAATTAGTTAATATAATAATATAATTATTATGTCAAATATTACATATTTGGCCCTTTTATTTTTTGTTCAATATTAAATAAGAACGCTCGAGTTTGTTGTCTAGGGATCCATGGTCTTTAAGTCAGATTTCCGGTTTACGATTAATTTTTACATTAATTGAAGGTTTTTTCCTCTACATTTTTTTCAAAATATTAAAAAAAGAAAAATCATTTTATTCCTCATTTTTATTTTCCATTTGTTTTAGGTGAAAAACTATAAACTCCAATTTAAAAAATCAAAGATGGTTGAATTTCGTCAAAACTAAAAATATTGCGAACAATATCTCGAAGCACATTCCTTTTCCCATGCTTCAGTATGGTCGGGCAGAACTGCATTTCGATGTCGCAAACAATTTAAAAGTTATGAAAGTTGTCCATAATTGGTTAGTATTTATATTATTTCAGCTGGTATATGTAACAAAGCTCTGAAATATACAGGTGGCCGGGGAGTAAGCGTGGAATCTTCGCAAATAAGCTCTGAAGTCAGTATTAAGTATATTTTTCGTAAAGAACTAGCGAACGATAATCCGAATGGTTGAACCCCAATAAGAATTTAAACATTGGGTTAAAAAAATGCTTTCTAGGTAATAATGTGCATTGCAGAATCATAGAAACACTCCAATGGCATGTAAATTGATTATTATTGACAAAAATTCATATATTTGTTCTGAAAGAAAAACTAGCACAGAAATAAAAATGCACCCAATTTTTATAATTCGACTGCTTTTTTTTATTTCTGGGTTATTTTTTCTCTCTAAACACATAT